TAATTTTTTGTATTTTTTAGTAGAGACGGGGTTTCACCATGTTGACCAGGTTGGTCTCGATCACTCGACCTCGTGATCCACCCGCCTCGGCCTCCCAAAGTGCTGGGATTACAGGCTTGAGCCACCGCGCCCGGCCCAGAATTGTTTTAAAAGTTAGCTTTATAAAAATCAACAATCAACTGGGAGCTTGTTCTAAATTAAAAGAGAATAATAAGACATATTAGTTTATTATGTGATCTTTGGATTTGGGATGGAAATTTACAGTAGATAAAAGGATACTACTGGAACCACTGGTGAAATGTGAGTATGGGTGACAGTAGATAATACTGTTTCTATGTTAAAGTTCTGCAGTTTGATAGTGGCTTTGAAGAAATCAGAAATTCTTAGGAATTTCTTAGGAATTCTTAGGAATTTGTAGGAAATTTCTTAGGAATTTTGTAGGGATTCCTAGGAATCACGTCTCTGTGAGTTTAAATTTCTTTGGATATAAAGAATGAAAAAGTAAATACATATAAATCAGTGCTTTTTCATAACTGTTTGCTGGTCCTCCTCATCTGTCATCTGTGGTTAGTGGTTTAGCGATAGTTGGGCTGAAATATGACCCATTTAAAGTCAGACTCTTGATAATGGCCTACGTTTATTTCATTCACACGCTATACATTTTGGTTCTGGCTCTTGTGTTTTTGGACTGTCTTTATGTACTTACAGTGAGGGCATCATTGTCCTATAATTCTGCTGTTCGGACTTAACTATGATTTTTCAAGTCATCATAAGTCCCAACTGTAGTTTGGTGAGCTTTTACCACACATGTATTTAGAGAACAGATAAAAATACATATAAGAAATAATATGTTCAAATGGTTTATTCATGGGAATTTTTTGGTCCTTGGTAAAGGGACACTGTCACTAGACACCTTTGGTGCCCCAGCTCGTTTCTTTCCCTCCCACCTGCACGTACCAGCTGCTGCTACAGCAGTTAGCTCTGCACAGGTGTGACCTGGTAGCCCTTGGCCTCAACTGCAACACCTTTCACTCACTTTCTGTGCTGGGCCTTCTCTGCGTCCATGTAACTTCTTGGGACAAATAGGAGGGAGTTCAACATCTAGTAGGCAATCCTAAACCAATGGAGAAATGGAGGTTGAGGATACTTGTCCACTCTCCAACCCCTCAGATGGAACAACTTGAGGCACATTTTACAGGACTCCTCAGCATGCTCCAGGAGGATGGAGCCCTAATTGCTCATGTTGCTGGCCAGCTCAATATAACGTATTTGAATTGGCTTTCCTTCGGCATTAGTCTATTCTCATGGGGCTCATAAAGACATACCCAAGACTGGGTAATTTATAAAGAAAAAAAGATTTAATGGAGTCACACTTCCATGTGGCTGGGGAGGCCTCGCAATCATGGCAGAAGGCAAAAGGCACATCTTACATGACGGCAGGCAAGAAAGAATGAGAATCAAGCAAAGGGGCTTTCCCTTTTTAAAACCATCTGATCTCATGAGGCTCATTCAGTACCATGAGAACAGTATGGGGGAAACTGCCCCATGATTCAATTATCTCCCACGTGGTCCCGCCCACAACACATGGGGATTATGGGAGCCACAATTCAAGATGAAATACGGGTGGGGACACAGCCAAACCATATTTCCTTTCTTCTCTGCTGAACTCTTTCTAATCTCTCAGTGCTGTTTCTCGGAATTGGTTCCCAAAATGAATGGCTTACATACAAGCTTTTGTCACAGGCATTGTTTTTCTTGACAGAATACAGACTAAGACGATGTCATCTTTGAAATCTCTCTAGTTATGGTTGGAGAGTGTGGGGATTGTTACTTTGTAACTACTTTATAAAAGTTTGTGGTGGTAACTAGAAAAAGCATTCATCAGGAGAATCTTCCTGGTTACTGGCATTGGGAAGGTCATTTATCAGTCAGGTAACTGGCACCACTACTGGGATAGGGAATTAATTAGGAAGAAGACATCTTGGTAAGTCTACAGGATTCTGTTGCTTGGTTATAGGACTTTGGGTCTTGGTATCTGGTATAAGGGTTCGGGAGTAGCAAGAGCCCCTAAATCTAAAGATAAATGAGTATCTAGAGATTCATGGCGGGACTTGGGCAGGACATCAGTTATTCGACGTGGGATATAAAATTGAGACTTGAGAGTCTCTATTCTGATTCATAATGGGATTGAAATGTAGGAGTAAAGCTACTATAATATTTGCACAGTCTTCCCCTGCCATGCTGCCCCGTTATCCAGTTTTCATGGAAACTCACACAGTGTTAGGCTGGGCGTTGTAATAAATTACATCAGCCTAATATGAGAAACTGAAAATAGGGAACAGTCTGAACTTAGAGGGTAGGGAAAATAAGGATCCTGGAAACTAACTGATGTCTTACAAGCACAGACTGGTTGCATATCATAAATACTTGTTTCTTGGTATAGTTCAGGGTAATTCTGTGACTTGTTGAGTCTCAGTGGTTAGATATTGCAGTGACTTCAGGCATAGGCAGTTGATGTACTTTCTGATTCAGTAAAGTACAGATGTTGAAGACCTGATTAAATCCTGTCTCTGCTAATACCCTGGGGGAACACTTAATGAATGATGCTTCCCTCAAGAAGAAGAATAATTAACAATAGCTATATTATTCATATTAACTTATAGTTACTGGTTGCTATAATTAATGCTATTTAGGACAATCATCATAATTATAGCACTTTACAACTTGCAGAGTATTTTCTCATCCATTTTCTTATCTGAATCTTGTAACATTACCCTGGCTTAGGTAGAACATGTGATATTCTCTTCATTTTATAGATGAGAAAATTATGGCCCAGGGAAAGACTTAAACAGACACCAATCTATCACCCTTCCAATATATTGGACTATCTATGACAGGTGTCCCCAAACTACGGCCCGCGGGCCGCATGCGGCCTCCTGAAGCCATTTATCCGGCCCCCCACCGCACTTTAGGAAGGGGCACCTCTTTCATTGGTGGTCAGTGAGAGGAGCACAGGATGTGGTGGCCCTCCAACGGTCTGAGGGACAGTGAACTGGCCCCTGTGTAAAAAGTTTGGGGACACCTGATCTATGAGTATGTGGAAATACACTTACCAAATTAATGTCTACCATAATATTTTATATCTGTACACAAGAGAAGCAACTTTACTCAGCTTTTAGTTGTCTTCTGTAACAACAATGCCCTGCCTTTCCTTGTACCAGGGACCATTACCCGGAATGTTCACATGAAGTTTAAATGTTAAATGGAGTTTTTCTTAATTATACCAAAATGTTTCATAGACATTACTGCCCTTTGAGATAAACGTGAGATCTCTGATACAGGGATTAGCACCTTGGAAACATCTGTTTCCAGTATACAGACCCGCTGGCATTTAAGAGTTTAATCACACTGGAAATTCAGAATCAGAAAAGTCTGAATTTCAACCAACCTGTCATGTCACTCTTTTTCTAGTTTTGGTTGTGACAAGAGAGTGGAAGAAAATCTCTCAATTTCACAAGGCCGGACTTCAAATCTGGGCCATCCAGCTTGATGATATACGCATACTTACCAGTGTGAGCATGTATACACCAGTGTGAGCATGTGTACACCCATGTGTGTGTGCACACACAGATGCACACTGAACCTCTTTCGTTCCCTTTTTATATCAAATCCCAGAGTATCCACTGCCTACTGTTTTACCTCTAACTGTGTTTACCCAAAATATATTGATATGAGGAAGGTCACTGGCTGAACCTGTGGCACAGTCTGTTATTATTCATTGATTTATTTATTCAAAAATACTTACTGAACACTTAGATGGACTAGGCCTTGAACGAGATTCTGAGGAAACAGGAACAAAACAGCCAAAGCTTCTCACAAAGCTTTTATGTTCTATGGGAGAGACTGAAAATAAACAGGAAAATATACATGGTGGTAGATATTATAAAAAATAGATTTAAAAGAGAGGGGATAAGATGACGTGATATAGAGGGATCATAATAATACATTTAGCAGGAAAAAAATGTGAGGCGGCTGCTTTAGACAATGTGATAATGTGAAATAGATATATTATTTTATTATTATTATTATTTGTCTCTGTCATGTGGGCTGGAGTGCTTGATGAAGTTTTAAGAGCTTACTCCATACACATACATGATCATTATTAAATTGTCACTTTAAAAGATTATTTTTTTACTTCACCCTGCCTCCAAATACTAGAGTCATCTTACTTTATACGTCCTTGCTTTTAACTCTAGACAGATGCTTTGCTTGTTTTTCCCAAACCTGGTCACAATTCCTGAAAACACCCTGTGGCAATGTTACTGTCCTTTACTCTCCTCTTGCTGATTCTGACTGCAGGTTATATGGGGCTCTAACATACGAAATGCAGAGATCCTGACGTCGTCGTCTGTGCTCCCTGCCACATGCTTCCTCTGCCCCTCAGCAGAACCCTAAGCGGTCTCTTTCCAGTTCACGTTTTACATGCATCACTTGGGTCTTGCCACGCTTGCGCACATGTGTACCTGATACCCCCTGGACCTCAGACTTCTGAGCACTTCCGTGCTCCAATATCTTCAAGTGCTAATTTCTCTTTCTGGAATGTCAGTCCCCTTTCTCTGTTCCTTGCTGCTCCAATAAATGTTATTATTCTAGGCAGTGGTTTCTAAACAGCAAGAGCTTGTGAGCTCTCTTCAGCTGGTTCTGCTGTTGAAGTGCAGGAATAGAGACATTTATTTTCCTTTACTTGTATACTTAAAAAAAATCTTCTAAATATGCAATCTGAAAAAAAAATCATCTTTTATTTTTCTGTTTCCATATCTGTCATACTGATAATTCTATCTCAGCCAACCTCACTGAGATTTTATGAAAGTTTAATTAAAAAAAAAAAAAAAAAGAGGTACAGAAAAACTTGGACAAAGCCACACTGTAACTTGAGACATTTGAACTTACAATGATATCAATGGAAATTTCATTTATTAACATGTATGTGTTGCTTTCAGCAGGGAAATCCCGGAGGTAAGACACTTGAGGAGAGGCGCTCCAGCCTGGACGCTGAGATTGACTCCTTGACCAGCATCCTGGCTGACCTTGAGTGTAGCTCGCCCTACAAGCCTCGGCCTCCACAGGTTAGTGCTGCTCACCACATCCGTCTCCACACAGCCAGTCCCAGATATTCTACTCTTATCAGAAAGAATGTGCTGCATCTGAGAGCTCTTTTACTTTTTTCTTTTTTTGAAACAGAGTCTTGCTCTGTTACCCAGTCTGGAGTGCGGTGGTGCAATCTCAGCTCACTGCAACCTCCACCCACTGGGTTCAAGAGATTCTCCTGCCTCAGCCTTCTGAGTAGCTGGGACTACAGGTGCATGCCACCACCACCGGATTATTATTTTTTTTTTAGTAGAGATGGGGTTTCACCATGTTGGCCAGGCTGGCCTAGAACTCCTGACCTCATGATCTGCCTGCCTGGGCTTCCCAAAGTGCTGGGATTATAGGGGTGAGCCACTGTGCCCAGCCCTTTTATTCTTTCTTGATCTTCTTAGAGTCAATGGCTTAAGCAGTCTTTTTATGTAATATCAATGTGTATTAGTCAACTGGCAGATAGTTCTTAAATTGGCTTTTTGAATATTTTCTTTAAAAATAATGCAACATTACACAAAAATATTGTATAAAAAAGTAAATCTCTTCTTCTATTGCCTTGATCTTTTCATAGCTTTGTCTATATGGGTATTTTGTTATATGATGTTATAGTTTTCACAAATGTGACTCAGCTTGGCTAGGCAGGGTTAAGGTGAAGGGCTATGTCTTTTGCAAAGAAGTTACTTTCGTTGAACATTAAGATGGTTTTCAATATTTTTGTCATTGTTATAAATTATGTTGCAAGGGACATATTTGTGTATATTTTCTTCGGAGCTGTTTCCTGGCCTCACATTTCTAGGAGTGGGATTGCTACACTGATGAGTGTGACCAGTTTATTTACTTTTCTTTCCAAAGTTTGTGAATAGTTTATGCTGGTAACACCAGTCAGTTTGAATATATCAGTTTCTCCTGAAATTCACCAAAATTTGACGGTAGCTATTAATCTGTGTTTTATAAGTGCAAATGGTGCCTTATTAGATTTTTTATTTTTTCTTTTCTTTGGTCCGTTTTGGAACTTGTCTATTTTTCTGCATCTTTACCTAATGTCTGCATTCCAGAAGCTGATCTTCCACTGCTAGTGATCATTCCCTGCCTCTCGAAAGTCTTGAAAGGGTTGTGGCAAATCTGTTTCAGGGCTTCCAAGTCCTCAGAAGGCAGCCATCAGAACTCTAGTTGCACATGTTGGACAATCACTGTTGTCACATTTGCTTGACTAAGTGAGAGTGCCTGCAGCCTCTAAGCCTCACTGCAATTCTTGAATGGCAGATTCTGTATTTACAATGGTTCCTTTCTTGAATTAAAAACCACTCCTCTTTCTTTGCTGAACTCCTCTTAAGGTGGCAGGGCTTTCTTCTTCTTCCTTTTTTTTTTTAATATACATATTTATTGCATTTTAGGTTTTGGGGTACATGTGAAGAACATGTAAGATTGTTGCATAGGTACACACGTGGCAGTGTGGTTTGCTGCCTTCCTCCCCATCACCTATATCTGGCATTTCTCCCCATGTTATCCCTCCCCAACTCCTCACCCCCCGCTGTCCCTCCTCTAGTTCCCCCCTGCAGACCCCAGTGTGTGATGCCTCCCTCCGTCTGTCCATGTGTTCTCATTGATCAACACCCGCCTATGAGTGAGAACATGTGGTGTTTGATTTTCTGTTCTTGCGTCAGTTCGCTGAGAATGATGGTTTCCAGGTTCATGTCCCTACAAAGGACATGAACTCATCATTTTTTATGGCTGCATAGTATTCCATGGTGTATATGTGCCACATTTTCCCTGACCAGTCTATCATCGATGGGCATTTGGGTTGGTTCCAAGTCTTTGCTATTGTAAACAGTGCTGCAATGAACATTCGTGTGCATGTGTCCTTATAATAGAATGATTTATAATCTTTTGGATGTATACCCGGTAATGGGATTGCTAGGTTCTTCTTCTTTTCATTTTTAATGAGATGGAGTCTCGCTCTGTTGCTCAGGTTGGAGTACAGTGGAGCAATCTTTGCTCCCTGCAACCTCCGCCTCGCAGGTTCAAGCGATTCTCCTGCCTCAGCCTCCTGAGTAGCTGGATGACAGGGGCCCGCCACCACACACAGCTAATCTTTGTATTTTAGTAGAGATGGGGTTTCACCATGTTGGTCAGGCTTATCTTGAACTCCTGACATCAAGCCATCCACCTGCCTCGGCCTCCCACCATCTGGGATTACAGGTATGAGCCACCACACCCAGCTGCTTACTTCTTTAGGTATATTCCCTTTATCTTTTCTAAACATATAATGGAATTGTCAGCGTTGTGGGGATTCAAGTCAAAATATACTACTACTTAGCTCTGCCTTCACTGTCCCTGCTCTTGGCTCTGTACTGTAAGTAGTAAAAATGTACTTTGTCCCTGTAAATGTGTACTGAGCTCCTTGTCTAGAGCAGTCACTGCAGTCTTTTGGGGGAACTGATGAGGCAGAAAAGTGGATAGTTGAAAGAAAGAGAAGTAGGACTCCATTGTCATCTTCTAACAGCCTGTAATGTTATATGTGAAGCTATGGTCTATACTGCAGGAGCACAAAGAAGATAGTGATATATTCTTTTGAGTTGGTCGGAATCTGATAATTCCTATCAAAAGACTTGCATTTTCGTCGGCTGGGCGCAGTGGCTCAAGCCTGTAATCCCAGCACTTTGGGAGGCCGAGGCGGGTGGATCACGAGGTCAAGAGATCGAGACCATCCTGGTGAAACCCCGTGTCTACTAAAAATACAAAAAATTAGCTGGGCATGGTGGCATGTGCCTGTAATCCCAGCTACTCAGGAGGCTGAGGCAGGAGAATTGCCTAAACCCAGGAGGCAGAGGTTGCAGTGAGCTGAGATCGTGCCATTGCACTCCAGCCTGGGCAACAAGAGCGAAACTCTGTCTCAAAAAAAAAAAAAAAAAAAAAGACTTGCATTTGCATCTGGAGGGGTGAGTGGAATTGCATTGTTGGAGACAGCGGGGGAGAATAGCCTGAGCCACAGGGCTGGAAGCTCCAAGGCTGCATTTAGAGATCTGTAAGCAACCATATGGCTGCAGATGAAGCCTCCGAAGGCTTGTAGTAGAATATAGGTCTGGGAGGTTTCCTACAGACAGCGTGTAGACACATTTAAATGCCAGATTATGATTTTAGTATGTCTTTTGTAGAGAATGGGGTTGTTTGAAGGTTCTCAATCAGGGGAAGTCTAAAATTCATTCTGAAAAAGGAAGATAGGAAATAAGACCAACTGTGGAAAGATGCAGGAGAATAAGCCCAGGTCAGAAAAAACGTTCTCCAGCAAGCTGCATTTCATACTTGCTGACCGTTGTGTAATGTTCAGCAGTTTTTTAATTCCAGCCAAGCAAATGCCCCAAATCTCATATCTGAAGACAGAAAGGCCACTGACTTTGCCACTGGACTCAGTGGCATTATGCCCAAATGCTTCTCTCTCTGTTGCCCAGGCTGGCATGCAGTGGTGCGATCTCTGCTCACTGCAACCTCCGCCTTTCAAGTGCAAGTGATTCTCCTGCCTCAGCCTCCTGAGTAGCTGGGACTATTGGCACACACCAACACCCAGCTAATTTTTTGTACTTTTAGTAGAGACGGGATTCCACCATGTTAGCTGGATGGTCTTCATCTCCTGACCTCTTGATCCACCCGCCTCTGCCTCCCTAAGTGCTGAGATTACAGGAGTGAGCCGCCATGCCTGCCCCCTCCCCTTTAAAAACAAAAACAAAAACAAGAAAACCTAGAGTTTTCATTTAAATATTTTTTTCTCCCCTAAATTCTTATAACCTGATAGATTCTGAGAAGATCATGCTTTGAAGTGTTTTTGTTTGATATAACCTTCATTCTTTAAGGATGTGTCTACACATGCCTCTCAAAAAACCATTGCATTTTAATAGGTTTATTCAGCAGCTGCATTTTGTTTGATCAATCTTTCTGAGCACACAAATTCATCATCACTGGTATTTGGACAGCACTGATTTTGAAGCACTTTCACATATATTCTCACCTGAGTGAGATACAGATATCTCAATTCTGAGATGTACGTGATGTGCTTATTTCAGGGATGAGGAAACTAAGACTCACCTAGAAGATTAATGATTTCTCCTTGGCCATATGCTTGAGCACTGCTGAGCACAACCGGACTTTGAATTTTGACCTCTGCTTGATTTTAAGTTCTGAACACCAGATTGGGGGTGTCGGGTTTTGTTTTAATTTTTGTAATGTTTTTACCATCAATGAAAACTGGCATCAGTCATCTGAATGACACTGTCCCTTGAGTGTGGCTTTTCCATAAAATAAAAACATTGAGAAGGTTACAAAATTTAATTATAATAGCCGTTAAGTAGAACAAGTTCAGAATTATGGTAAAACATGCTTTCCATGTGACTGTTTCATTCAGAAATTAAAGGATGATCCATTCTAATTTTTTTCTATTACTGTAATTTAAGAAAGCAAGAGTTAATTGGGAGATCCATCTCATCCTTTTGAATTATCTTCCCTCTGGTGGAACTGAATTAGATGTGTTAATATTTATTGGTTAACGTAATTACAGGCTGTGAGAACAATAATCACACACTTAAAATATTAAAATATGTGCCAAGAGAAGATGATGTCTGTAGTAGACTGTGTTGTGTTATAATTAAAAGGTACTTGGAAAGTCCTAGAAATGTAGACCTTTAATGCCCAACTTTGATGTTTCTATTTTTTGTTCAAAGCAAATTTCAAAACCTATAGAATTACCTGACTACTAAGTAGGCTAGTAGGTCTGTGATTTCTCATTAGTCAAGTATGTGTTGTATGCTTTTTTTTGAATCCATGTCTCTATCGCTTTTGTAAGGCTGCTTTGACTCATGTTCTAGGTGAAAATGATATATATGTGGAATGTTTATATACTGAGAGGTTCTAGGGAGCTCTGTTCTCCTAACAAGCCTGAAAAATGTCTGAGCTCTTGAAAATAGGTTTTTTAAGTGATTATTTATGTTTTTTTAAT